ACAATATCAACAACAACATTTGCGGCAGCAACAGTCACAGCAGCAATAAAATTGCAGCACATGCAGCGGCAGCAGCAGCAGCAGCAGCAGCAGTCGCCACAGCCTCGGCAGCTGCCATTGGAGTTTGTCGCGTTGATGTAAGTAATTAAAGCAAACAACAATCAAACAACAAATCAATGGAAAATTATTGCATTCGCGAGTGGCAAAAGCAAAATGAACTAAAAGTAAAGAAACCCAAAAAAGAAAAAGAAAAGAAATGAATTCACCTAGCAGAAAAACAATAACACATGACACACACACAGACACACTCATACACACCCACACCCATACAGAAGAACAATTGCAACGTGCAAAGCTGAAGGCAAGAAAAACTGAGAAACAAAATTCACTTTACGTTATGATTGTTTACGTGTTTTATGTTCGTTTTGTGTTCGTTACGTGTCGCCCACAAATATCTATCCTGCTGCATTAGCGAACACTCACACACACACATACAGCAATTCAAAATTTTTCCAAATTTTTTAAATGAAAACAAAATCCTGGAACTGCACAGGCTCAAGAACCTCATCATCATCATCATCATGATTATCAATTGAAATGAATCTCAACATTCAAACAACATAAATTGGCAACAAACATTTTATTTAGAGCAACAACAACCATATCGTAGTAGCAAAATCCTTTTTGTTTGTCGTCTATGTAGTTTTAGTTTTTTATTAATCATCTCAGTCTTAATTCTAAACTCGAGTCGCTCTCTCTCCCTCTCCCACTCTCTCTCTCTCTCTGTCGCTCTGTTCCCCGCTCTTCTCGCTTTCTTATTGTTTTCTTTCACACATTCTCTCAAACATTGGCAACGATAACAAGTTGATGACAATAACAGTAATAACAATAACAATCAGCTATAACAATAACAAAAAGAGCAACAACTACAGCAACTACTACTACAGTAACATCATCAATAACAACAATAACAATAACAACTTGAATAACAATCGAAATTGCGTGTGTTTTTTGTATTAATGCCAATCCTTAACATTTTAACATCTTATTCGACAGAGCTCAAAGTACAGCAGTTCAAAGCGCGACTATGAACGCGATCGTTCCTCCAATTATCGCGATCGTGACATCTCACCTGGCGGCGGCGGTGCCGGCGGCGGTGGAGGTGGTGGTGGTGGCGGCGGAGGCGGAGGCGGCGGCGGTGGTCCATTGAATAATGGCAATAGCTATCGTTCACAATCGCCGGATATAGATTCACCATCATCACGCTCGCATGATCTCCGCGAACGCAGCGATCATCGCAGTGGTGGAGGAGGCGGCGGAGGTGGCGGCGGCGGAGGCAGTAACGAACGCTACAGTTACATACAAAAGATGCGTGAAAGGGATCGCGATCTTTACAAAAAGGACAAATATTCCGGTAGCTATAAAATTGACAAATTCACGATTTTGAATTCAAGTCACATCAAATTTGTATACACATTGCAGATAAACGTGATCGGCGCGGCAATGATCGCGACTCGGAGTCATCGTATCGCACGAATCACGACAGGGATCGTCGTGGCGGCGGTGCAAAGATTTGCACATCGCGTGAAAACGATAAGCGTTCCGGCTCCGATGATCGGGATCGTGAGCGCGATCGTGATTTGCGCGATAAGCGTGACAGAGGCGCCGATCGCGATCGGGATATGTACAAGAAGGACAAATATGCAGGTATGCATTCGAAGCTTCCATATAACATATGGACACTATACTAATTGCGCTCATTACATATTCGACTCCATCAGACAAACGTGAACGCAGCGATCGTGGCGAACGTGTGGCCCGCTATGGCGACTGGAGCGAGCATGTAAGCTCGTCCGGTAAGTATCTCAACGGATCTAAAGCTATATTTGTAATTGGTTAACCTATCGCTTACTTGCAGGCAAAATGTATTACTACAACTGCAAAACTGAAGTCTCCCAGTGGGAGAAGCCTAAGGAATGGGTAGATAGAGAAAGGTGAAACTCTAGTCAAATCCGGTCGTGGTGCCTTGAGAAACAACAAGAAATATGAATGATCTATAGCTGGAACATATATTCTATTCATATATATCCTAGCCACACAAGCAAACTCAAATCAAACTCGCCTCATGATCTATATGAACTGTAAAGCATTCATATGTCTTGTTGTTTGTCAAGGGACGCACACATAAAACAAAGGAAATCATTTTAAAAATGCTACTTTTACATCGCTTTAGAAATCTGCCGCGTGATCAACATCGTGAGAAGGATTACCGCGATAAGGATCGGGACCGAGACCGCGATGATCGCTTCTCAAGATCGAGTAAGTCGCTTTTAATCTGCAGCGGTCAAATAACTACTAATACAAGCGTCTCCATTCGCAGCATACAAACATTCCAATTCATCGCGCGACAATTCACGACTGAGATGGAATTATGACAACGATGGCGGCCCGCCCAGCCATCGAAGGCGATTGGATGGTGAGCAGCGTTTAATGATTGCAATCTAGTTGCTCGATTAATGACGTTTGCTTTACTTGAATGCAGGTCGACATAACGATAATGCTGATATGGACATCAGTGGCGACTCGACGCCCACCTCGGAGGCCAGTTATTCGTTAAGCGGCACACCCACTACGCATGGCGGCAGCGTGGGCGGCGTGATGCAGTCTAGTGAACAGTCGTCTTTAATGCCGCAGAGCGCATTGACGGGCGGATTGTGCAATGCACTGCCAAGACTGGCCTCACATCCAAATAGCGGCACGCCCATAAGTGCGCATTATGGTGCCATCGGAGTGGGTGGCACTGGTGGCGGCGGCGGTGGTCCTGTTAGCGGCGCCATAATGTTGCCCACCAGCGGACTGGCCTCGGTGCCGTCCAACATTGCCAACAGCAGCAACAGCAGCCTTAGAAACTCAGTTGGCTCAACGTCCAGCGTAAGTTTTGGGCAGCGGCTCGACTTCTAATTGAATTTCCTGTGTTAATTGTACGTACTTATATTTTTATAGACGACTGTGCCGACGCTGGCGAATCAGGAGCATCATCTGAACTCGAATGCGCCCGGGCCGCCTGGCAAGCTGCTTGGTGCTGGTGGTAAGGAATCGGCAACACTAATGATGCGACAGAAGCTACATTTAGTCCTTAGCGGCATCGATGGGCCCCTTCATCATATGTTGGTCGCCGGCGGTAACGTCAGCGGTGTGGGCCCAGCGGGCGCAGGCAGCGGCTCAGCAGTCGATGTGAATCATGCCTACAATTCGGTTAACAATGCGACTGTTGGCAGCTTAAGCAGTTTAGGCAGTTTAAGGTGAGTTCCGACACAGTTCAGCATAATTGGAATTCCAGTAACTAACCATGACTCTCATCTCATCGTGCACAGGGACAGCAGCCAACTCAACTCACCACTGTGCATGCCGCATGCCCATCATAGTCTGTCGCCATCGCTGAGCTATACAAAGAGTCCCATACCAACGATCGTGAGTCACACGAACAATGTGAATGCTAGCAATGCCTACACCTGCAATGCACCGTTTGGCCTCAAGACGGTCGATGGACTTGCCGTTGGCGTGGGCGTGGTGTCCTCCTCACCGGCGACAAATGCGATCGGCAATAGCAATGCTATTACTGGTAATAACAGCAGCAGCAGCTGTAACGTACCCGGCCTGGGCACTGTCAGCGGCATCAGCGTCATCACCTCCATGGGCAGCAACAGTCTGTGCGGCAGTGCAGCAACACTTGGCGAGGGGCCGCCAACGCCAACGCAAGAATTAGATTTAAGTGGCTCAGCTTTAGAACAACACCAACATCAACACCAACAGGTGGCTGCTGCGGCAGCCGCCGCCGCAGCAGCTATGGCTGCGGTGCAAGCAACGCAACAGGCGGCGCAACAGGCCCAACAACAGCGCAAACGTAAGTATCCAGTGCAATTATAATTATCAATCCCTTCAGCTTAATTATACCTCAATTTCAATTTCATACAATATAGTCGATGGCAGCGGTTCGGCTACGCTAAGCACGCTTCAGAGCTGTGTGGCCTCTGTACAGGCGGCGAATCTGCGCGGCCCGGAAATTTCACCCAAGTTAGCTAAATACTTTCGCGCTGATTTAATTGCGCACGTGACCAACTGGCAGGCGGAGGCATTGGAGCGTCAGGTCAGTGGAAGACGGCTAATTGGTGTATATGCAGTAGTGGGAGAGACAACATAGCTTATGCTTTACAAGCGAACAGCTTTCATTGAAAGATATCTAAGATCAAGCGAACTGTTTATTAGTATAAATAATCGGGTTTCCATTGAAGAAAATCTGAATTAAAACTTCAATTATCAATACAATTTAGGCCTGAGGCATAGCATAGTATATAAAATTCTTAAAATGTTTTAATCTGAATGTGATCATGTTGCAGGCGCAAAAGTGTTGCGAGGACACGCATCTATTTGGGGACATTACCTGCACACGGATATGCGCTGAATTGAAGTGTGCGCGGAGTTTGGTGCGCAGCACGGAGATCAATGCGACGCTGCAAGAACAAAAGTAAGTATTTGTCATACATATATATATTGTTGCTAACTTTGCTTTTTTGTTTTATATTTGATTTAGAATTATGTATCTGCGCCAGCAAATTCGCCGTATTGAGGAGTCGAAGACTCAGAACGCGTTCATGTCGGACGATACTTAGGATCAGGAGCAATTTAGGCTGCGCGTGCATCGTAAGCTGTCTGTCAGGCTCAAAAAGAGCCCACTCTGGCGCAGCTGATGATGATGAAAGCAATGCCCACCACCCTTTAAATCCATGCAGATGAGTTGATGTTAAGTCTACTCATCTGTGTTTGCTCATTCCAATGCAGATTCCGCTAGATGAATCTGATTTTGAGCCGGGCAGAGCTGGGCATATAAACACGTGCATCCTACTTTGTTGGCGTTCTCGCTGACAGTGTTGGGCCCTGTGCTAGTGGCAGGCAACAGGTTCCAACACACCTATGGTCGGCGAGCAGAAGAACATCAGCACAATGTTAGTAGCTGCAGCGCCAACAACAAAACGGAAAAGAAACCAACATACAAACAAACAAACAAACAAACAAACAAACAAGAAACATGAAGAGAAAAACACAAGATACTAAAACATAATTTATAATTAGCAACGCGTAAATAATAACTTAATAAGCATGAAGCGCAGCGGAAATGTTGAGCTTATGTTGCCGTTAACCAAACACCAACAAACAAATAACAACAACAAAATTCAATAACAATCGAAACGTAGCGAAACTAATTACAAACAAGAAAACAAAAAACTAAAAGAAAAGAAAACAAAACAAACAGAGACTATAGACAACAACAAAAGAGAAAACAAATATGAAACCACTTCAAGAAGCAATAAGAAAGAAGCCTCCTCGTATCGAATCGAAGAAACAAAAAACACCAACAACAAACAGTAAACAACATAGAATAAAACAAGAAAACAAAATAAAACAAACAAAAGCATAAGTAAATAAAAAGAAAACAAAAAGCAAGTCAACCTAGTATACTCAACTGCAATAAAATGCTAATTTAACTATATACAAATTATATATATGTATATATAAATATATGTTTATACATATATCTATTTGTTATATATACATATATATAGTGTATATGAAAAATGTATATTTACAACAACACTACAAATGTGCGTGTGGAACACTCGAAATTCTCTTTTCCATGGGAAAGAACATATTGCAATTAAAGAACATAAACAAAACGTTTACAAATGGATAAGAGAGAGAGGGAGGAGAGCGAGAGGGAGAGAGAGCGCGCAACAGAGATACAGTGGGCGAGGTCCACACGCTTAGCCTTCATAGTAGTCGCATATAAATTCGTTAGGGGTATTCACTTTGACAGTTTCCAAGAAGTATTTTTGTGTGCGCCAAAATTTGTTCAACTTTGAAGCTGTCGTTTTGTTAAATACTGAAAAAAAACAACAATTTTGTAACTGCTTTTTGATAGCAACATTTTGCATATGTGTGTGTTTATGTAAGGAAAAAACATTGTGTTTATTTTTATCCTATTATTTTTTTGTTTTTTTTTTTTTTAATGGCTTCGGATATATTTTTGTAACAAGTTATGTGTGCTCCAAAGGATTCGAGTTGTACTCTTATAGTATAAAAACATTTTTACACACACACACACATATATATATATATATATATATATATATATATATATATATATAAACACACACACATACAGCATCTCGAGAGCGCCTGGCGGCAAGGGCTTCATTTCTAGCTTCTTAGTTCATGTGCGAAAATGTATTTATTTTGTTTTTGAAATTGAATTTGCAAACAGTTGTTTTTTTTTCAACGCATTATTTTTACAATTATTTTTTTTTAAATTAAACTATAAATTAGTATATATATATTAAAAAAAAAAACCATATATATGCATATATATATATGCATACATATATGAAAGTAATTTGTCTTATTTGAAGAAAGTAAAACAAATTAATTTTCCGTTTTTTTTTTATGAAAACTTGTTTTAAAGTAAAAGGAATTCGAAAACAAGAAAAACAAAAAATAAAACCTAGAGAAAAAACAAAGCAAGTTTAATAATATAAATAAATATAAATAATAATAATAATAACTACTGTAGATATACATATAATTAAATACAATGGTATATATATAAATATATTTAAATACAAAAAGAAGGTAAAATAAAAAATTTATATTACTTAGCTAAGCGTCGAAACCGAAAAATATAAAAACTTTTATGATTAAAATCGACATTTATTTTATTGGGAATCGACTTGAGCTTAACATAATAATGATAATCTAGCAGTAAATTTAAGTTAAGCTAAAAATGTAAGTTTTAATCGTTGTGAGAAATCTGTTAAGGGCATATTGGAAAGAGTAGTTCGAAATTTTTAAAGATAGAGATGGAAGTATAGATAGTGGTAGAGATAGTTTTTCGTGATTCTTATAGATAGAGATGGAGATATAAATAGAGGTAGATAGAGATAGAGATGTAGATACAGATATAGACATATATATATATATATATATATAAATAATATATAGGCTTGGGACTATCGGATTAGCGCACTGAAGCAATTGCTATATTAGAACTGTGATACTATAAGAATGATGAGAATAATGCTTATAGAAAGCAAGTAATCAAATATACAACCGTATTTACATAGAAATGTAAACATATGCTCCAATTGGAGTGTTACATCGTGATCTTTCTTATACTTAAAATGTACAATGATGACGGTAGTTCACTCCCCCTTTGTCATGCTCATTCGTACTCGCAGCGCGTTTGCCTGCTAAGCTGGCCTACGTAGTTGGAACATAATTCCAATTAGAATCTTTGTACAGTGCAGCTGGCTGCTTGTGCAGTCATGGAAGCTACGGAAAGGCCTGGCTAGCTCGATATTATATATTTATTTATATATAGTAAGGTCGTTTGTTAATTTTTGCTTTATCATCAATGATGACATTCCTTCAATTAATCAATCAATCAGTCAGTTAGTCTGATCAATGTGTTTGCTTGAACTGATTTATTTAGTTCGATGCGAACAATTCTAGTTGGCTGACGAGTCTAATCATATTTAAGGTTAATGTCTTCGACAGTTCAAAGAGTTTTGTAAAAGTGTATGTGTGTGTATGCTTACGTATTCGCTTAGGGTATTAATTACTAAGGAATTGTCGCCATACCTGTGCGCACAGAAGTATGCAGCGGCATTTGAAAGCAGACGTTGGCATTTAATTGTAATTAGCTTTTACTGTCCCATCAGATGAACACTAGTAGCAGCTGTAGCCGTACCGTTGCTATGCTTTTTAGCACAGTCGAACTGAAAGTTTGCATACTATCGAAAGCTTTTTGTCATGTCTACATGTGCCGGCAAACCAGCGAGGTAACGAGAGAGTGAGAGAGCTTTCGCTGCACAGTAACGGTATTTAACCCAGCAAACAAATTCGCAGCGCAGCGAATTCAAATGAATCGCATGCAGCAAACAAACGAAGCGAACATCGTGCGAATGAACACCCGAGGACGAGCACGAAACTTAAAATGCCGACGACATGTTTACGCCGCCCAGTGGCTATGCACAGTCCCGCATACGCCCCCCTTTGCTAGCTGCGCATTTGCCATCTGCGGGCTGTCAGAGGACAGCGAATGCCAACAAGTAGCAGTTCAGCATCGACAACGCCAGCGTTCGCTTGCGTCTAGCTGATGCCAGCGCACCATACCGAATCAAAGAAAGAGATAATAATAAAATTCAAAATAAATCAACAACAAATTTGACGTAAAGTATCGACGCGATTAATTCTTGAAACTGTTTCGAAAATAGTTCAAAAACTTTTTGTGCAGTGCATACAATTATTTTCAATTTGTTTTCAGTGTAAAGCCAAATGCTAAAGAAACAAAAAAACAAAACAAAAAAAATAAAAAAACACTAAACAACGGTAAGTGGTTCCTAGCAGCAACTGAAAGAATATTTGAAGAACATAAAGCTCTCTGGTTTTTAGACGAGGTAAGACCAGTTTCGTTTCTTTTCATTTCTATTTTAAGTGCTTTACTTTGAGGCTTGAAATGCGAAGGGAAAAATAATAAACACAATTTGCATAATACGATTTTTCTTTTAATTAGTAAATTAGTTAAGGTTTTTCCATTCACAACAAAAAACAGTCAATTGTAAAAGTCACTGAACTTTAAGACCTGGATGGAAACGTATTTAAGATATATTTTTTAATTATTTTGAAGATTTTGTGTTTTTACTATTAAAATTATAGTTAAATGTTCGTAATGAAAGTTCTGCAGTTATTTAAAATCTGAGCTAAGTTTTGTTTAGTTTGAAGCTAGTCTCACACAAAATATTTGTCGATGTGAAGAAGCATGGTGTGCAGGGTATTTATTAGCTGGGCATATTTCTCTTCTTATCAGGATTACAATGTTTCGTCGACTTTTTAGTTGCATTCGCAATTGCTGAACTGTCAGTTACAGTTGTAGTTACAACTAAAAACCGCAAACAAACAACGTTTGCTCACAGAAAGTCAATTATATATAATAAACGAAAAAATCTGGAAGTCTTTTTATAACTATAATATATTATTTAGAATCTATTTTTTTTGTTAATTTAGAGATTTATTCAGAGAAATTTAGGAAGAATGTAGTTGCTTGTCATAATACCTCTAATAAGCCGTGATCTTACTTCATGCTTCCAGTCCAGACAGCACACGAATTGACTGGAATAGACTTTTTTTATTATAGAGAGCAGTAAGCTCAGTTTATTATATATTTTCAGTTTCATAAACATTAGATCACCTCGAGCTGATCTTAGCATGCCTGAAGTTAGACCAAAATTTTCCTGTATTTAATATTTCTTGGGTTGTTCAGTAGGCATTGTTTTTAATTGTCTTTGATCAAAATACCCTGTACAAGAAGTCTGAGTCTAGCGGAAAAGTAACTTCTGAGTTTGGATATAATATCGTGTTTTGATATTGCCCTGGATTACAGATTTTATACATGAGTGGTAAGATACTCTGTGTATTAATACTGTTTACATACTTCCTGCAAGTATACCCTGTAAATGAAAGTATGAATTCTTGCAGTAATAAAATACTGTGCATGAATAAGCTCTACATGAATACTACACTATACTATACTGTAAGTAACACCCTGTGAAGGAATACTGTTTATTTGAGAAATACCCTGTAAATGAAAACGTTCTACATAAATGTTAAGAATACCATTAAGAATACTTTCTATAAGAATACCCTGTAAATTAGCACTCTCAACTCAAGGAACATTCTCTATATCCATCTACAATAACTCTTTCCATGGGCACTCCAACTAAGAATACCCTGTAAAATAATATTTTCCACAAGAGTACCCCTACTATAACACTCTGCACAGGAATACTCTCTACATGAATGCACGCACCACTCAGCCCGAATACCCTGTAAACAGAGCGAGTCTAAAAGGTATCTACTTATGGGCGCAGCCTTTTCATACGGATCTGTGCCTGGCCCAAGTCTTACGCTGAACAGAGTCAGAATAAAAGTCCAACTCGGGTCGTCGTGGGCGTGGGCGTGGCATGTCATTGCAGCAGCCGGTCGCCCGCAATTAAACAATGTGGAAAAGGTGTTCCATTACTCAAATGTGTTTAGCACTTCAAATGTCATCGGATGATTTGTGCTGTGTGAGGCTGTGGCATTTCTTTATTTCTGTTTATGCATTTCTCACCAAATTGCCGACACTTAAAAATGGCGCGCAGCGAAAAACCAAAAGCCAAAAGTCGAAAGTCAAAAGTCAAAA